AAAAAGTTTTTGATTTGAGTTTCTACTGAAATGAGGCTGCATTTTAATGTTGTACTTTAATCTTGTTTTTAAGTTGTATTTTAATCAATTGTTTTTACCTGGTGTTAGCCGCCCTGAGCCCGGTCTTGGCTGGGGAGGGTGGGGTATAAATAATTTATTATTATTATTATTATTATTATTATTATTATTATTATTATTATTATTATTCCTCTCTGCTTTCCCCTTTTCTAATAAAACGTCCCTTTCTCAGTTTAGACCTGATGTCTGGGGGCGGGTTTGTGATAAACCCAATTTCCTCCTGCCACCCACCATGCATTGCTTGGAGTTCAGCTTCCTGCTTTTGCCGAGAGGGAAACGCAAGGCAAGCAAACTGCCCCTTGCTGCCTGCAAGGACAGGAATCTCCAAGGCAGTTGCTGCCTCTCCCTGGCAGGAATTTGGCTCCCATCTCTGGCCTCCCTCCCCCGGGCAGAGTCAGAGGGAAAGGGAGGCTGTGGAGGAAGCTGTCTGGCATCGCAGCTGCCCTCCCTACCCAGGCAGTTTCGGAGGCAGAGCTTCGCTTCAGCCGGCCAGCCTTACTCACTGTGGTTCAGAAAGAACTGGGCAATCGGCAGCAGCACCCTGGCATAAGACAGGTCCCCACTGATCCGGCTGTGCACGTTTTTCAGGCAGGAGAGCGAGCGGTAGACGTAGGAAGAGTCCTGTCTGCAAATGATATCCATGATGGTGATGGCTTCAATAAGGCACTGTGCGAGGGAAAGAGGGGGAGAGACGTCACCGTCAGGGATTCCGGAATGGCTGCCCAAGATCCCTGCTCAAGCCCCAAGACCTTCCTTCAGGCTACTTACAGCTTTCTGAAGCTCCCCGTCGGCTTTCTTCAGAGCCCCTGACAGACAAAACAAAATTGATCTCATAGAACCACAGAAACATAGAACTTGGAAAGGGACCCCACAGGTTATCTCCCGCTTGCACTACTGCCATGAGCTGTACGTGGGGCTTCCTTTGAAGGTGACCCAGAAACTGCAACTAATCCAGAATGCAGCAGCTGGACTAGGGACTGGGAGCGGCCACTGAGACCATATAACCTGAAAGAGCTACATTGGCTCCCAGTTAAGTTTCCGAGCACAATTCAAAGTGTTGATGTTGACCTTCAAAGCCCTAAACGGCCTCCTGAAAGAGTGGTTATTGCAACCTTTGAAGGAAGTCTGCAATGAAATATTGGAGGGGAAATGGGCACCAGAATCGTGGAAAGAGACGTATATCACACTTATACCGAAAACAGAGACTGAAAAGACTCAGCTTAAGAACTACCGCCCTATATCGTTACTTAATGTGGATTACAAAATTTTTGCAGACATTTTGGCCAAGAGATTGAAAAAAGTATTGATGAAAGAGATTCATAAAGACCAAGCGGGCTTTCTCCCGGGAAGACACTTGTCCGACAATTTGAGGAATATAATTGATATTTTGGAAAAGCTAGAAGTGAATATAAACACTAAAGCAGTATTGATATTTGTCGACGCGGAGAAAGCTTTTGATAATATCTCTTGGAGTTTTATGAAGAAGAACTTGCATGGGATGGGGGTAGGCCAAGGCTTTGAAAATGGTATAGGTGCAATATACTCTGAACAAAAGGCTAAATTAATTGTAAATAATGTGGTCACGGAAGAATTTAAGATAGAAAAAGGGACACGACAGGGGTGCCCAATTTCCCCACTGCTTTTTATATTGGTCCTGGAGGTTTTGCTAAACATGATTAGAAAGGACCGGTTGGTTAAGGGCATACAAGTCGGAGCTAAACAGTACAAACTGAGAGCATTTGCAGATGATCTAGTATTGACGCTACAGGAGCCAGAATCTAGTAGTAAAAGAGTTTTAGAATTAATTCAGGAATTTGGTCAGGTGGCAGGTTTTAAATTGAACAAGTTAAAAACTAAGGTTTTAGAGAAAAATTAACACCGATTGAAAGAGAGAGGTTTCAGAATGAGACAGGATTGAATGTGGTAAAGAGAGTGAAATACTTGGGGATTAATATGACAGCCAAAAATGGGAACTTATTTAAAGATAATTACGAAAAATGTTGGATGGAAGTGAAAAAAGATTTAGAAATTTGGTCAAATTTGAAACTCTCGCTGCTGGGCCGTATTGCTGTGATAAAGATGAATGTATTGCCTAGAATGTTGTTTTTGTTTCAGACATTACAAATTGTAGATAAGATGGACTGTTTCAAGAAGTGGCAGAGAGATATTTCTAGATTTGTCTGGCAGGGCAAGAAGCCCAGAATAAAATTTAAGATATTAACTGATGCCAAGGAAAGAGGTGGATTTGCCCTGCCAGACCTTAAACTTTATTATGAATCAGCAGCTTTTTGCTGGCTGAAAGAATGGCTACTTCTTGAAAACACAGACATTTTGGATTTAGAAGGTTTTAACAATGTATTTGGATGGCATGCATACTTATGGTATGATAAGGTCAAAGCACACAAAGCATTCAAAAATCATATTGTTAGGAAAGCATTGTTTAATGTTTGGATAAGATACAAAGATTTATTGGAAAATAAGACCCCAAGGTGGCTGTCACCAATGGAAGCAAAAGCTCTGAAAAGGCTCAATATGGAGGCCAAATGGCCGACATATTGGGAAATTTTGGAGCAAGAAGGAGATAAATTGAGATTGCAGAGTTTTGAAAAATTAAAAAATAAAGTGAGAGATTGGCTTCATTACTATCAGATAATGGAGGCATATAATTTGGATAAGAAAATAGGCTTCCAAGTGGAAAAGTCAAAATTAGAAACAGAATTGTTAGAACCCAAAACTAAAAACTTGTCAAGAATGTATAACTTGCTGTTGAAATGGAATACTCAGGATGAAACGGTGAAATCTGCTATGATTAAATGGGCACAAGATGTTGGACATAATATTATGTTCGCTGACTGGGAACAGTTATGGACCACAGATATGAGGTTTACGGCATGTAATGCCTTAAGAGAGAATATTATGAAAATGATATACAGGTGGTACATGACCCCAGTCAAGCTTGCAAAAATTTATCATTTGCCCGATAATAAATGTTGGAAATGTAAAGAAACTGAAGGTACATTCTTTCACCTTTGGTGGACGTGCCCAAAGATCAAGGCTTTCTGGGAAATGATATATAATGAATTGAAAAAGGTATTTAAATATACCTTTCTGAAGAAACCAGAGGCCTTTCTTTTGGGCATTGTCGGCCAATTGGTGCCAAAGAAGGACAGAACCTTTTTTCATGTATGCTACAACAGCAGCAAGAATACTTATCGCAAAGTATTGGAAGACACAAGATCTACCCACTTTGGAAGAATGGCAGATGAAGGTGATTGACTACATGGAATTGGCGGAAATGACTGGCAGAATCCGAGACCAGGGAGAAGAGTCGGTGAAAGAAGACTGGAAGAAATTTAAAGACTATTTACAGAAATATTGTAAAATTAAGTAATCTTAGAAGGATGTTGGATAGAAACTAAGAGGTTTTTAGCTGTAATGCTTTAAGAGATATGAAAAAAGGTTTACAATTGGGTAAAAGCTTAATGGTAAGGATTTGCTGAACTAACAAACTGAACTGGAATACAAAAAAGGGAGGTACGAGGAGGTCCGGGGAAATAAGAGTAAGGAAGATAGGTTATGGAAAATTATTGCGTTTTTAACTGTTTTATTTTGTATGTCTTTCCTTATTTTCTACTTTTTTGTTATATCTCAAACTTTATACTTTTTTCTCTATTTTGTATTTTCATGTATTTTTTGAAACTTTAATAAATATCATTAAAAAAAAAAA